CACACACACACACACACACACACACACACACACACACAAGGTGCCACTTACAGCTCTCTTTGATGACCACATTCATGAGCAGCAGGACGCGGCGGCGTGTCGGGCTGTTTTTACACGCCGGGCGTGAAACATGGCCGCCTGTTTGTTTTCCCGCAGAGGAACTGATCTCCTCTCCTCACAGAGATACGAAAGCAGGAAAATAAAGTAGCAGCTCAGCTTGTTGTTCAGATTGAAGAGAGGATTTTTTGTTTTTTTACTCCTGAGTTCTGACTGGAAAAAGGAGCACGAGGAGGAAAAAGCTTAATCATTATCGTTCAGTCACTTAAAGGCTTCCAAGTGTGAGAGCTGATCAGCGAATGGGTGGATGGATGGATGGATGGATGGATGGATAGATAGATAGATAGATGGATAGATGGATAGATAGATGGATGGATGGATGGATGGATGGATAATTTATTGATCCCCAAGGGGAAATTCAAGATCTGCCTGGATCTTAAAGCTCTGAGATGACGGGTGACATGTGGAGATTCAAGCTGGTCGTCCAGATGTTGGATGTCGATACTGTAATGTTTTTGTTCAGCTCCTTTAGATGGAGGTCCTTTTTAATATCCGACCACATTTGTCCTAAAAGGGGCTCCAAGGATGTTATCAACTTAGTTTTTCTTCCTGCAATGACCCGTTTCGAACAACTCTATTCTGGACTAAAGACATCACATTAAATCTATTTTTAAGCCCAGAGTACCACTAACATAGCTCTGTTTTTTATTAATAGAAAGAGGGAAAGGCTACAGTTGTTTCCATGAGACTAAAAGGGATTGTTGATTTACTTTCCTGCAGAAAACGGTAAAGAGTTCAGTTTTGTTTCATAATGACAAATGGAAAACTTTTAAAACTGAAAGCCGGTTGTTCAAAATGAGGTTTGAACATAAAGGAACCGAGTGGCTGCTGATGGTATAAACGGGGCTCTGGTTTTACTGATGTCAGGAAAAAAGTGTTGGTTTTGGCCAATTTTAGGAACTGAGACCACAGTTCCTGCATTTTATTGAAAATGTCTGAAAACCTGAGCTTCACACAAACATTCGGAACAGAAAAAGCAGAAGAACACCCCTCTGATGTTTTAGCTGCTGGTATCCCATAATGCCTTGCAGCATGAGCTGTCCCTGGTGTGAATGAGCTTTGTGTGGCGGGTTCGTTTGTCCCCTCTGGGACTAACGGAGGAAATGTCTGCTCGTCTTTTCCATTGGCTGTAGAGTGGTTCGCCTCTTATTTTAATTTTGAAAAGCTTTTTTTCTTTTTTGTTCTTCTTCTGGACCTCATTTTAAGGTGAGCAGAGATCTGATCCCAGACTGGACTTGATCAGAGTTGTTTCCTGCTGCTGTCCCTCATAAACCCTTTTCTCAGAGTCTCAGAGGGGTCAAAGAGACTGGAATTATTATTATTATTAACATATCTATCACGGAGCCTTTCCCGCCATTTTTCTCCTTTTCCAACAGACTTACTGGTTTGTCTCTGGGCCATAACGTAACTTTACTGTCTATACGAAATCAGAAGACAAAGGATGTCCTAAACCTGACCCTGACCCTCTGCCCTTCATAATTTTTTGGTTAAATTTGTTTGGACTTGTTGTACAAACCTATTTAACACACAATATTTTAAGATAGAATTATTAAGAGTTTAATTCAGTGTTTGCTAAATTAATTTAACTATTTTTATGTCTATATTGCCATGAAGCCGTTAAATCCAATAGTTCCTGGACCAATGGAGACCTAAATATCCGTTCATGAGCCTCTGTTTCAAAAACAGTGCAGAATCTTTAGTTTTTTTTGTCAGGAAATTTAAAGAAAACAAGAAAAATTGCAGTCAATGCCTGAAAAAGTCTTATGTCGTAGATTTGTGCAGCAAAAGTGAAGCTTAGAGAAACGGATCGGGGAGAGCCGGGAAAGCAGGAGGTGGACGGGGACGAAGGGAAAATGTGTGATGTGTTAATATTTACCCGGACCTGTCCCCCTCCCTGTCTTTATTGTCATGAAGCCGTAAAGTCCAACATTTCCTGGACCAAAGGAGACTTAATTGTCCGTTAATGAGCCTCTGTTACCAAAACATTGCAGAATCTTACTCGATTTTACTATTTCACTATATGTCTATATTGCCATGAAGCCGTTAAATCCTATAGTTCCTGGACCAAAGGAGACTTAATTGTCCGTTAATGAGCCTCCGTTTCAAAAACATTACAGAATCTTTACTTTTTTTTTGTCGGCAAACAAAAGAAAACACCTGAAAAAGTCCTGAAGTCGTAGATTTCTGCAACAAAATTGAAGCTTAGAGGATCGGTGCGAGCCGGGAACTCTGTATGAAAGCAGGAGGTGGAACGGGATGAAGGG